CGGCATTCACTAAACTCTTGCCTGTTGTAGTGAATAGGAAGTGCTGTTTCTTGGGTCTTTAAATCAACTAGTCCTCAAAGACCCTGGAGAGAGACAGGGAGAGGGCCACACACTCCCACCTTGCTCCCCTCCCTCCTCTCTTTCTCCCTGCTTTTTATTCTTTCAGTTTCTTAAAGGATGTTTTTTTACAGCTTGTCATAAAAAACCCTTGTGTGCACCTCCTTGTCTTTTCAGTTTTGATACATAGATGCTTTACGCTTATTTTATACCTCAATACCAGGAATAGAATGATCTGTAGTAAAAGGAAAAAGGTACAAAAGACTGCAAAAATAAAAAGAAATCTTTGCTGCTGTTGTAATACATGACTACAGCATGCAGAGAGTTATGCTAAAACTAGGCATTAACAAAAAAAACCCCAAACCCTGCTTGCAGAGTTATAAAATAAATGTGGCTTGAACTGTGGCATGGTTTTTTGACTCCATTAATACACTGGTGTTTCTAACTGATTATTTATATTCTAGTAGCAGCAAGACTCCCTGACTACCACGGGAGCCCATCACTGAAGACCTCGGGTCTCACCATTTATCATGGGCACGTCTGAAGCTTTCATTATTGCCCTCCCAGTTTCACTGTTTGACAGCCCAAACTGCAGCCATAAACTAGGATGCAGTAGTTAAGCAGCATCGAGTTAGACATGAGGGAACATTGCTTAATAAATCACACTTTGTACAGTACGAAAATTCTGTAAACTTCAGGGTGAGCATTTAATAAGCAGCACTTTAGTTCACCCATGGTGGAAAAGAAGCCTAATAGGGCTGATCCAAGGCTGTGCACATCCCATCACTTTCTCTGCTACTTTATTGCTCATCATCTGCATTGTTAATTTTTACTGGTTCATTTTAGATTTTAAAGCTGAAACTTTCTGGTGTGAATTTCTACAAGTAATAATGTACACTCTCTGCACAGCCTAGGAATTTGAAGAAAACCCTTTTCTTAATCACTTCTCCAGGGAAGTTTGCCATAATTTTCCCTCTGAGTGTTTTCCAGAGTTGCTGCTCTGTGCTGCCCAAGATTTGTAGCAGGAGGTAGAATTTTTCCTCACCCTATTTCCAGTCTCCCTGTTCTTTCCCATGTAAACTCTCAAGTTTCCTGGACGTTTCTTAGTCTGAGAAGATGGCAGCATAAAACACAGCAAATGAAACTGATGAGTCTCAAACAAGCTGTTTTCTGCTTATATGAGTGAGGCCAAATGAAGCAGTAGGATTCTGGAAGTGGAAGGAAGGGTTAGCAATTGCCAGAGGGAAGAAGCAGTGCCCAGGAGGACAGAGTAGCTGTGAATATGTCTTACAACAGGAATAGTGATGGTACAGAAGAGACATTATGGTATTTCCTTTCTTGTCAGGGTGGCTGCAGCTGTAAACTTCAAAACCAAAATGTTGACATCACATCTACTGTTGTTTGCAGGCACAAAAGTACATTCAATCTGTTTATTTGGTCAGAACAACACCACTGAACATTAACACTAATGAAAACAGTGGATTTTCCTAGATCTGGTGAAATTTCAGTGGGAACTGTGTTGATCTCTTGCTGTGTTTAGGGTTTGATCATAGAATCATAGAATGTTGTGAGTTGGAAGGGACCCATAAGGATCATCCAGTCCAACTCCTGATCCATGGCTTGCTCACTTTGTGCATGTCTTGCCACTGACTTCAGCAAGTCTCACATCAGTTCCTTGTCTGGATTTGTGATGGTAGGTGAAAATGCTTTACCCAGTGGAGCATGCAGCTTTCATCAGGTTCAAACTGAGTATTGACCTCTTGATACTTTCTTGTGGAGGGAAATGGTTTTGCAGGGAATGCCAGCTGCTGAGACCTTGCATTGAGGCTCAGCTGCTCATATGAGCAGGTTGTGTCCTGTATCATATGCCTTCATCCTATCCTCTTCCCTTCTCCATATCCCAGTGAAGCAGAGACTGTATCTTCAGTGTATAATGTATGAACACAATGCAGGGCTCGGAGAAATACCATGAAGACATCCATTAATCTATGCAGACATCGTTATTTCATTTTTTTTATGATTTCCTCCAGCAATATGAGCACCAGCACCTATTTTCCTGCTTCCTTTGGGTTTTCCTACAGCCCCACACTCTCAAAGTGCAGCAGGTTTATTACTAGAGACAAGATTGATCCAAACGCTGCATCTCAGCTTCGATGCCATTCCCATCACAAAGTTCAATTACTGTTTCAATTAAACTACAAGCTCTTGATGAACATTCATTAGTGGGAAGTTCCCTGTAGTCATCTAGCTGTGCGCAGTCAAACACTGCTGCATTAGGCAGGAGGCAAAGATGCTGTAACAGATGCAAAGGCGAGGATGCTGCAGGGGAAGCTGCTGATCCTTTGGTCTCTTTTATTAGGAGATCAACTCATGCTGATGCTGGAGCTATAGGTCCTAGGGTGGAAATGACAGAGGGGGGTGAAGTTGCTGGCTGGGCTGTGCCAGTGCAGATGGACTTGAATTGGAATAATTAAATGGTGTCTTGACTCAGAACCCAGAGTTGTTC